AGCTACCGATGAAGAAAAAAAAGGGAACAATCTAGCCACGATTTGGATCTCGATGGAGAATACTATTTGTCTGCATAGGTCGTCCAGTGGCTTCTGCCGTTCTATGACCGCATTAAATTAATTAAAAGTTCAAAGGCTCCAGCCGGTTAAGCAAAGTTTCATGTGCAAGTTGGGTCACATAGTAATCAAATTACGCTTGAAGAAGCCATCCAGCGCCATCCGTTACGTCACTCATAAGAGCATACAGATGAACGAACGCTTTGTTAGCGGGTCAAAGTTTAAAGTTCGTGAAAACGTCAAGGCGGCAAGGATGAATACAACGAGGGGAAGAATGCAACAATTTTTAAATACTTTTGCCCCTTCAGTTCTGAAGGATGCAAATTGCGCTGCAGTATCCTTCGTGTCAGTTTTCTGCAAGATTGTCGAAGGAAAGTGGAATGAGGTACGAAGACGTGGACTTAGGAAGTAAAAGAAGAAAATGGTGAATTCAGTAGGCTGTGTAAAGAGGAATGAAATAAAAAAGGATAGATCGATTGAATAATGAGGGTAATGACTAATTTTTAAAGGAAATGCCTCGTTTTTCTAAAGAGCCAAGATAATGCGCTGAGACTGAGGAATAATTTCATGAATATTTTGAATAGATCTGGGTGGGTTATTGTTTTGGAATCTATACCCTGGCAATTCAAGTGATGGAATGGGAAACAATCTGAAATGAGCGAAGGGTTGTTTTTCTAGATGGAGGTGATAAAAAATGAGCGATGGCGCTCAGATAAGAAGTTGAGAATTTTTGATGATGAAGAAATATTTGAAAATTTTACAAGAAACAGAACGAAAGGAATGACGTCTCGCACGTTAAGAAGTTTACTCGACGGAGAATGAAAAAGTTTTGATAGACATTCATTTTTCGAGAGTGAAAGTTAGGAGTCATGTAGCCCGTCGCGTGACGAGTCAAGTAGTCATGTGTGTATTTTGAATGTATTCACAAAATGTAAAGCAGAAAGTTGCTTAGTTTTCCAGGCAGGTCCAGGAAGTTATCAACATCGCGTTCTCTCGATATGAATCAACGGAAATGTATCAATTCTCGGAAGGGCTATAGGTGCCCCAACGACAATCGATTGTTTAACACATGTTTAAATGGAGAAAAGCTAGTGGTGCCAACTTGGTGGATCCGCCTATGGCTTCCTCGTGAAAAAAATAAAACACGCAAAGAAGTTGGGCAACGTCTAATGTCGTCATGGTGGTCAGTTAATTCTGGTTAATGTCGTCCAATAACTGTAAAAATTACCAAACCAGGTACTTCAAAATAGGTTTACCCTCAAAAAGACAATTCCTCTTGTTTTCAACCGGATAATGAATCGGACCACATTTTGCGATTAAGAACCACCATCTCTGGCTCATTTTAGAAAAAAACACATGTGCCATTGGTTTCCCTAACTGAAAAAAATAATATCCTGTTTTAGCGCCTAAAAAATATGTCGAAAATGTGTCAGGTGATCTCAAGATGCTGCCTTTACTGCCCTTGCAGTTAACTTTACATAATGTGAATGCAAATTCACAGGATTCTCCGTGGGCAATCAGGGCAGCATCTGAGGATCGCGAGACACATTTTTGACATCTAAAGAGCTGAAACAGCATACCATTTCTTTTAGGGATGCAGAATGGTGCTTTTGCATGCAAGAGCCGGAGATAGTGGTACCTGCGGCAAAGTGTAATCCGATTTATCAATAGACCATATTCGATAACGGTTCGATGTATCGTTTGGTTCAAAACAATAGAACATAACCCCTAACCAAATTGTAAGGATTTAAGTTGGAAAAGATGAAAATGAGAAATTTCCTGACAATTTCACTTTGCATTGGCATTTGGTACTCAAAAGAATAAAAAATCTGTTACAAAAGACCCGTTCTCTCAGATTTCTGAATTTACTTTTGAGGCTATGTTTATGTTTTGAATTAATCGATATCGATACAATCTCACCCGTTTGATGTATCGAGTACGATCTATGGGAAAAATCAAATCGATCGCTAGACGGCGGAACAGGGAGAGGAAGGAAGGCACGAAAATAGGAATGCAAGGCTCTTTTGGGTGGGCGTGTGGAAAAGTGGATGAAGGTAGAGCAAACAATAAATCACGGAGAAAAATAAAAAGCAGAAAGAGACACCAAAGGACGCATCGCGTACGTGTCGAAGTCTCGGTTAGTGGGTTAATGAAACCTCTCACCCCCCCCTTCCACTTGACCCCCGCCTGCCCTAGGCCTCCCACTCGTCACAATGCTAGAGAGCGGCAAAAATAAACTCCACGCCTAGCCACGCTGCCGTGCTAAGGAAGAACGCCGTATGAGCACTCGAGAGTTGCCAAATTTCCTTCGATAAAATGTTTATTTTTGAGGAAGTTTATGCACTGAAAGAAAAACCTCGGTGTATTTACTAAGAAAAAGGTAAAATTACCAAGAATGCAGGGTTCTATTTGATCCCAGTTTTTTCTTGGTAAAATTACCATTTATGGAATTGATAATTTTCCGAGAAATCTCGGTAAAATTATTGAACTTTCTCGTTAATTTTACTGGACCTTGGTAAAAACGCCAGTATTTTTTATCAACTGTGGTAGAATTACCGGGATAAAATGGCAAAGTTACCGGGAATTGATTACCAATAAAAGTGGTATTCTTTCCTGAAAAAAAAAAACAGTAAAAATACCGGTTTTTAGGTAAACTTACCAGTCTGTCTTGATTAAATTACCAATAATTGGTAAAAAAATTGAGATGGTAAAGGTACCAACGGACGTTGGTAAAAACGCCGAGAATTTTTTTTCAGTGTGAATATTTTTCCTTGAAATTTTCAAACGTTTCGGACCAATTTACACACAATATTATGTAAGAATTGGCAGACTAATATTCAAAAATGTTCCTGAAAATTAATGATTTGTCAGGGGAAATTTGGCAGCGCTTGAAGGCTCATACGGCGTTTTTCCTTGACACGGCGGCAAGGTTCATGACATTGTACAGCGTGAGCATGCGCGAGCGTAGGGGAAACAAGTTGAGCTGTTCTTGACGAAACTAAAAAAACACCTATCTTCGATTTCGGTGCTGCAAAGCTAAGCTGAGAATAATTTTCTGTTGGATCAACAAGAACCCTTTCGAAATATGCCGCGACGGGAATTTCTCATTGAAGCAATAGGAAATCTTCTGGTTTCAGACAATATATCTGGCCGAGAGGCAGTGGTGATGCTTGAAAGTTGGCCACAAAGTTTTTCCTCCATTTAAATGTATGTAAAACAATCGATTCGTGGTGAGGCAGTTTTCTCAACCTAATATCGATATTTTTAATGGATTTAAGTTAATGAAGGAAAAATAGTGTTGTCAACTTGCAAAACCGCCTCTGCATGAGATTTCCGGTTGATTAACAAAAAGTACTATAACGGCGCATTCAAGAGAAATAGAACGTTACTTGCAACACCGTACATTGAGTCGTGCTTTGGCACAGTTTAGATTTGCCATATTTTGCATTAGCAACATAGATTTTCAAAAAAAAAGCATCAACAATGTTCTGTCGGATGGCCTGGGCGTGCTCTCAAATTGGATTTGATCTTTTGGGTAAAAAAAAAAACTTTGCGAGAAACCGGAAGGAGCCTTTTTTTGTCATTTACGTCCTAGCCCTACTTCTAAAAAATGTCATTAATGTGTCTCTGCATCGTTGGAATTATTGCACTGGTGGGTAAAAAGATTATCGAGGATGAAAAAGTTCGAGGAAAACTTTAAAAATGTGGATACATTTTATAATCAGATCACGTATCACAGATAAATGAATAACCTACTGTTAGGACTAAAACTAAAGTGTGATGTGCAAGTTTTCACAGCAAGCATTCATGCACAGGAAATTTCTTTCCGAGATAAAAAAAAAGAACATACATCGATGAAAGCTCACTCGACGGTTTGTCGAAATCTAAACATTAATGTCACATTCGTTTAAGTTCAGTGGCAGTGATAGAAATGTTCTCCGCGCTTGATTCGATACATTACAAGTTCCTTTGATTTAATCAACATGCCACAGCGCGGAACAATGTTAAGTATATAGTTTCTGAACAAAAATTATGGATGTTGATCACATAAGTAAATTGAACGAATTAGCAATTTAGACGATAGTTTCTTATCGTAATGGCAGTATCAGTATACCTATCAAAGTAAACGTTCTTGATGTCGATCAGTACTTTTAAAAAAACGAAAGTACGTGAGAGACTCGAGAAAATATAAAAAATAAATTCATTTTTAGAGCTAAGTTAAGTCTCTTCGCTCGCGTGAATGCGCCCCGAGGATGGTGTGAGGGTCCGCAATTTTTAAAATTCGCTTGAAAACGAGTAAAAATATAAATAAAAGGAAGACCTGTGGATCTCCTAACATTGAGCTAGACGAAATCATCCATTTCTTTTCAATTAACTTTAAGTCACACGAAACTTTACGACAAACGCGCGGTTGTGTAAAAGTAACTAGAAAAAGAGACGCATACAAATGAGTTGTTAATTACAACTTTGATGCTTATCTGAAGCTTGTATCGAAAACTGAGGGAATTACTCAAATCTCTGCAGTTTTTCCAATCAAAAATCAATATGTTTAATATTCATAACCTTCGAAAATAGAAAACCGATACTTTCTCTGACAAAATGTTTACAATACTCGGTGATCTTTAATTCGAATGAAAAAGGAAGTTGATGAAAAAGCAACCGTAAGTAAATTCAGATACGCAGGAGGAGACAGTTTTATTATTACTTCAAATGTTCTTTTCAAACTACATCGCCTTTTGTGAGCAAAACGACGTAACTAAATTTTTAAGATGAACTCTCTCGCATACGTCATATGCTTCGCAAGGATCATGTAAAAATGGATTTACGTCTTTTTATCCATCACTGTGGCTTTTTGTTTGAATCTAGTAAAATGACCACTCTACAGATTCCACCTTGCGTCCTGCAGAGGGGAGTGCGTGCAACGTGAAACGGTTTACGCATTCTTTTCGGTTAGGGTTGCTTCCTCATCCCCAATCACGCCTATTGATTTACTGCTTTAGATTTTGATAATCATTAGGGAAATACGTAATCAACAAAGTAAATAAATTAATTAATAAGCTATCCTTACGCAACCGAATAAATTAAATAAATAAATAAATAAATACCTAAGATTTCATACTTAGCCTATGAAAAAAGAACAAAATGCCAATTTGAAACGGTCCTTGCCTCCTTTGAAATCCTGTTCTAAACTGAGGACACTTTGAAATCCTTCACTTCCCGGCGCGACACTCGGGTGACGTCACGCACTTCACTCGTGCACCACGTAGTCACAAAGGGTCTCCCTCTGGAAGCCCCTGCTACCCTCGGACGGGCCCCGGGGTAGACGCACAACATTCTCACCCATCACACCACTGTTGGATCGCGAGCGGACAAACCTAACCTCGCCGTTGGATTCCTCGCCGGAGAGCCGTCGGATGTGGTCGGAGGAGCTGCTGCCGGCGCGGGAGCGGAAACCGTCGTCCTTGCTGAAGGAAAGCCGGGCGGGCCTCTGCATGCAGTAGTATTCCGGGTTGGAGTCCTTGCGCATGATGTCCGAGGCGGTGCTGCTGCACCTGGACCTGGAGGAGCCGTAGCCGTCCTCGGAGCCCTTGCTGAAGGAGACCCTCCTTCCGGAGTCCATGTCGAAGCGGTGCCCCGAGCAGCAACAGCAGTCGTCTTTGCTCGAGACGGAGAACCGCCTGACGCCCATGTCGGGCACGGAGACCCCGGAGTTGGACCTGGAGCGGTTGGAGCTGGCGTAGCTGTCCGAGCTTGAGTCCCAACCGGAAGAGGTGCGGCGCCCGAAGTCCGGCATGAAGAACACGCCGCTGTTGCTCCTGGAGCGGGAGAAGGAGGATGACGGGCTGTCGGTTCCGGAGTCTCTGGACCATTTCCTCTGGTGCCAGTGGTTCCCGGTCTCTTGGGCGCGGCCGATGAGGTGCGGCGAGGAGCAGCGGCGCTGCATCCAGACCCTGTGTCGGGGGTCGTCCAACTCGGAACCGGAGTTGTAGGAAGAGGAGTAATCCGAGTCGAAGACCTTCTGGACAGGGCTCTTCTTCGTGGTCTTCTTCTTGGTGGCGGGGGCGTTGAGCTCCAGGATCTGGAGCCCGTCTTCGCCCATCTTGCAGCCCCAGTCCTGGCGGTTGATGGCGTTGTGCGCGGACTCTGTGCGGACGAACTCCACCAGGGCGGAGGTGGCTCCGTTCATCTCGGGGTGCTTGTTGTAGAAGTGGCGGACGTCGGCGGGGATGGGGTTGCCCGGCCGGAGGATCCGGATGAGAGCGATCTCGCCGCAGTTGCGGAACATCTCGGCCACGCTCTCGATGGTGGGCTTTTCCAAGGGTAGGTTGATGGCCACGATGGTTCTCGAAGGGGTGGTCTGGTCGTAGAGGGGTAGCGGGTCCACCCGGCGGAGTTTCGTGCCTTGCTCGTTGATCTGGAGCTTAGTGGACTTGGCCAGAGCCGCGGCGACCACCCTCCAATCTTTGGCCAAGTGCTTCACCCTCTTGAAGCTGGCGATGAGCTTGAGGGAGACGTAGCCCTCCTTGTTGCGCTTGACGTGCTTGAGCAGGAAGGCATCGCGGGTGATGTTGGCGTCGGAGAAATAGAACTCAACTTGGTCGATGATTTTCTTGGTGAGCTCCTCGTTGGGCGGGACGAAAGGGGTGTCCTCGTCGCTCTTCTTGTCCTCGTCGCTGCTCTTGTAGCTCCTCTCCTTGCCGCTCTCGAGGCCCGAGTCGGTGCCGCTGGCGTTGTCCAGGCACTTCTCCAGGAGCGCCCGCTGGCTGGCCGGGATGAAGGGCTTGGCGTCGTAGGACAGGGAGATGTCGCTGTCGATGCTGTCCCTAGTGTCGGTGTGCTTGATGGAGCGCGGCAGGGAGCTGAGGCTCTCGCACGGCTGGGCCACTTCCGCGATCTCAATTTCACCTTCCGGACACGGCATTCTGACACGGGATCCTCTCGAAAGGTTTCAAAAACTGGACGAAAATATGAACTGAGTCGGGCGGGTGATTTTTAGTTGCACTTTTAGAACACGCACTCACACATGGCGCGACGAACTGAACACGTTGCGAACTCGAGGGAATCACAGGGAGCGCGGTGCGGCTGACGACGCGGCTGACACCATACTGATTTCAACGGAGACGGATCGCCGAGTCGTGCTTCTCTGCCCCTTCCACCGGACCCGAGCGGGATTTTTTTCTCTCCACTGAAAGCGCGAGTGAGTTCGACTGACTGACTGACCGAGCGTCGCGGCGCGGCGCGGCGTCGCGAATAAATGCCAAGGTCACGCCGGGCCGGCAGCTCGGAGTCTGGGGGGTGTTCACACGTTGCCCGGCCGCAGTCCCAGCCGGCCACTCCGACGCATCCAGTCTCTCCTTCTTCTTCTTTTTTATTATTTCCGATCCCGAGTTCCTTCCGCTGTGCGCGGCGCGCGCGGCGGGACGCGACGCGCGCCGGCTCGGCATTGAAGTCCACATATCGGGGCCCGCGCCGACCTTCCGGCGAAGGTGGACCACCACAATACATTACTAAGATTACTCCTCGCGCCGCGCCGCGCCATGCCGCGCGCAACATTTGCCTTTATTCTTTCCTTCCGCTTCCGCGAGCGGCCACTCAAGGTGCGATCAATAAATCCAATACAATTATCTTTGCATGCTTTCGGATCTCGTTCCCGCCGATTTTCTTTTCGCCACCCCACCCCCCTTCCCCACCCCCGGCGAGATTTTTCGGAGTCGCTCGCGTCGCGCAGTGGAACGAAGTTAATAGAGGAAGTCGAACATGAAATTGTTGACAAAAATTGTACAATGGAGTTGTTGCATGTGTGAGGAATTTGCGATTTGACTGTTGATTCTTATGTAAAAGTTCGCGAGAAACACGATGGTGCCACTGGTTTTCTCTGAAATCATCGCCCAAGCTCAAAAAAAGCTCTCAAGTTGAGGCCAAAATGAAGGGGATATCCCATCCTACCCTGAGAGTCCACATCTACATCAAGACAAACTCTCCATGCAAAGATAGGGAGCATTTACATTAGCAGGGTTGCCGTGTTTTCAGTTTTGGAGTCTCCATATAAAGTGGCAGCCCTGTCAATGTATATATTTGCTCCCTATCTTTACATGGAGAGTTTGTCTTGATGTAGACGTGGACTCTCAGGGTAGGATGGGATATCCCCTTCATTTTGGCCTCAACTTGAGAGCTTTTTTTGAGCTTGGGAGTTGATTTCAGAGAAAACCAGTGGCACCATCGTGTTTCTCGCGAACTTTTACATAAGAATCAACAGTCAAATCGCAAATTACTCACACATGCAACATCTCCATTTTAAGTTTAATTCGTCACAATATTAATCGAGGCACTGGATGCGAAAAGGGCACTTCTCGACAGCAGTGTTTCAGAATCTCTGTTACTTGGAGAAGAATTGAATGGGTGATTTTGCCAGTATTCTTTCCATAGAAAATTGTAGAATCATGAGGAATATTCAGTGAAATGGATGCATTCACTTTCCTCACAATGAATGAAATATTAGAGGAGACTCTGAAACACTGCAACCGAGAAGTGCCCTTTTCGCATCCAGTGCCTCAATTTTAAGGAGTGCTTTTTATAGAAAATTTTACGAGAAAACCATAGAAACTACCCTTTAAACATTAGCATTCTACATTAATGATGATTTACGCTTTAAAAGTTTTTAAAACATGTCCGACCCCTCCCGTTGACTGGGTCCACCGTGCGTCGCCGGAGCTCGTAAAACAATCGGGCGTTTTTGTTTACCGGAAATGACTGAGTTTGCGCGGTAAATATGTGCGATGGGCCTCGGAATTATCGCAGGTGTTTGTTTTTTCGTCTTATTTTATTACCACCGCACATCGTTCTCCTCACTATTTTCCTGGTCTGATTGCTGGTTTGAGCTCTTCGAGTTCCAGAAAGATTCCACCGATGCATCTGTTGATTTTTTTCACAGGGATTTTCATCTTTCGGCTGTTCCTACGTGTGGCTGGGCGTTGCACTTTTCCGCAAAGCTTCCAAAAGTCAAGGTGATTTTCGTATGTTGATTGAGATCACGGTTAGTGAAGAAGCTACATAAAAGAAAAGAAATCTCCCATAATGGGAAGAATGGGACAAAAAGTCTCAATCCGAAGCATTTTCTGATGTTTCTCCGCTTCCACGTAAAAAACACCTCTACGAACCTTCATTATTATCAAGTTCTTTTATTTGCAAATGGATTACAATAAGGAACTACAATTTCTGACTCAATTCAGAAAAACATATGTGCGATTAGTTTTGATCTGTGGATAGGTTCTTTTATGGCTGAGTCAGAAATAGGAGTTCCTCACCGTGGCAAAATTTGGTCCATATGAATTTGCAAAGGACACAGCTCGACTGTGAGAGTCAAAACGCATGGGGAAAAACTCCGTCTGCGACGTTGCAGATTTTTATCACGTTCTACTTTTCAACGGCAAAGTAATGCACACTAAATCACGTCTCGGGGTTTGGACGGATTTTACTCCGTTCAATACTGAATGCTCTATGCTTCAAAATACCCAAGTTCATCTTGTTTTGCTCCCAAAAAAATTAAATAATAAAGACATGGAACATTATTAAAACAAGACAACACTGGAGATTTTACAACAGCGTAATCGCGATAGAGGCGTTTTCGACTTTCACCAAAGCTCTGCAAATGTTCAGCACCACACCATTGAATCCAACACTGCAAGTGGGGAATTTCCCTTAAAGTTTTAAAATTGAAGAGCAAATTATCACTTAGAAACCGGTAACATAATTAATGGTAAAAAACAGGTCAGTCTAGAATACGCTTTTCCTCAACTAAAGTTTCCTCCAGATTTTTCCCGGAAAAATGACTTTTCAGTGTAAAGAATATCAATATACATGTTTTCCTGTTCCCTTTACTAAGATGTCTCACAGTATTTATCTAAAGAGGCATTTTCCAAGCTACTAGCTCATGCACAAATCCATACCCCACAAAATCTGTTTCGATGCGATTTTGTGAATGCTTTCCACGCATAGTTCGCTTAAGAGAAACTTCAGCGACTGTATGTGGAATTTTCCCAACATTTTTCCTCTTCTTAGAACTTCTAAATACTTTTCAAAATTTCAAAATAATTATCCCTGTCTGACCCTATTTTGGGGGAAAAACCGCAGAAAAGATGATAAGACATTGCCTAAATCAGAATGCTCAGATTTTTGGCTTCATCTGTCGAATGAGGAAAAATTTTCTCAAAGCGTCTTTCAACGCAGAGTATGAGCGTTATTAGGATGAGTGAAAATTTTCCGAACATATCCGTTAAAAACTATTTATTTTGGTTGCGGTATTTATTTTATATATTCGGTCGCGGCCATCAAAAACGTTTGGATCGTCAAACCGTTTCTCGAGCAGGTGCGAAGTGACTTTACTTAGACGATTTATTTTTTAAGGGATGAACAGTCGTAATCGTACCAATTTATTTAGCGGTTCAAAGGGATTTCGTCTGCGATGTATGTAGTGAATTCCCTACAGTTTTCAAGAGAATCGGTGGAACATCCTTTTCATAAAAACATGTGTCAATTGAAATGAAGCAGCACTTAACCCACATGGCTCCATTTCAAAAAACACTGCACATTTCGAGCAGAAGACGCATAATGTATTCTGCCGTGCTAAGGAAAAACGCCGTATGAACATTCGAGAGGTGCCAAATTTCCCTCGATAAAATGCTTATTATGGTGGAAAGCTAAGAATTTTTTCCTTAGATATTTTAAGCAACTTTAGGTGAAATAACGACCAAAATTACTTGAAAAATGGGAAGGAAAATATTCATAATTTTACCGTAAAATTCGTGTTTTATCAGAGGAAATTTGGCAACGCCTGAAGGTTCGTACGGCGCTTTTCCTTAGCACGGCAGAATTTCAGTGGTCTCAATCTGCATTTTAATAAATTTGATGATGCCACTATGATACGAACATAAACTTTTATTCGTATCGCTAAAGAGGAAATACACACGGATACACCAAAGAAAACCACATACGACAATTTAATAACTAACTAGTAATAGCAATACTTACTAGACAAACGACACTTCACTTTTCAAAGTTATCTTCCGATATAAAATGGGCTGCGAGTGAATATTAATGCGAAATTAATTAACCGACTCATGGTGAGACTCGTTAGTCTGAAAAAGGACAGACAGACAGCTGCATCGGAGTGACCGTGAGAATTTTTCACTATGCATGCAAGTCCGAGCTATTATCGTTCCGGCGGCATATGTTTCAAGCAGGTATACGAGCCACCAGGTATACGAGCCACGAGGTATCGAGCTTGCAAAGTTCAACATCACAGTATACTCAACTTCGAGACCTTAGGTCGAGCCTCTGTTCCTCTGGAAAAAAGTCAACCGTCCTCAGTTTACTACTTTACATTTCGAGCTATTATCGTTCCGGCGGCATATGTTTCAAGCAGGTATACGAGCTTGCAAAGTTCAACATCAGAGTATACTCAACTTTGAGACCTTAGGTCGAGCCTCTGTTCCTCTGGATAAAAAGTCAACCGTCCTCAGTATACTACTTTAAATTTCTCAAACATTTTCGTCGATCCTCAGATCGACTCTTGAACTACCTACGATTCCCAAATCTACGATGTGTAATGAAGGGCTCGGAGGATGACAAGGCGCAAAAGTACAGTTTTTGCTATTTTGAGAAATACGTGTTTGAAGTTCCGAAATTACATGAATTCTTTATGGCGGAAAGAAAGTTCAAAGTGACTTTTTGATGCCTAAAAATTGGAATTTGGGAGCGAATTTTTCCCAGAATATGCGTGAAGAATAGTTTTACTCGTAGTTAATAATAACTCAATTTTCACAAAAAAACTGCATTTATGCGCCTTGTCCTTAATGCCCCTAAAATGTTCGCACTATGTGAAGATTGTTTTTCTGCAGACCCGACATATAAACGGAACATCCATTTTTTTGCCTTCCATAACGGCACAATTCTGCCGTGTCAAGGAAGAACGCCGTATGAGCCTTCAGACATTACCAAATTTCTTTGGATAAAATTTTTTTTTTTTTTGGAAATCTGAGAACATTTTTTGTTTAAATTTTTGAAATAATTTTAATCGTCATTATATCTGAATTAGGTATTTGAAAATTTCAAAAGAAAAGATTCATAACTTTCCTCAAAAATAACAATTTTATCACAGGAAATTTGGAAATTCTTTAATGTTGATGTGACGT